GCCATTACCAAATGTACTGCAAGGAGTTTGAGAACATTGATATGGAGGGTAGACTCGACTTCCATCCAAGTACCCTGGAACTCCTGACCTTGAAGATAAGTTCCCCATCTCTGAAGAGATGCATCTGGGATCAAATGGATCTCGGGATGAGGTGGTGGAATGGGTACACCAACAATAGTGTTGTTCTGATCCAACCACCATTTGCAATCAACAGTGTTGCTCCTGAGTAATAGGAGAGGATGATACAAAAGATTGGAAAGCATGATTTATTGATCGTGCAATGATCACTGAAGGGACCTCATACGAACACATCCCAAAGGAATGAGAGGCTCATGGGATGCCCACATCCCAAATAGAGAGAGAACCATTTGTGCAGTAGAAGAAGGAGACATAAGTAAAAGCCTGACAGCTCTTTTCATGGTTTGAAGCCTGATATGGGTTGGTTGAGCATGACTTAAGAGTAATGAAAAACACACCCAGATGGATGAGATATTGCATTGGCGACAGAATAGTTTTCTCCAGTCTGATAAGGAAGACCGCTTTTGTGGCTTCTGAAAGAAGAATCTAAAAGTGTTCTTCTGCTATTTGACAGGATGGTGCCAGAAGAATCCAGTCCTCCATATAATGATGTGTGTACAGGTCCAAGGAATGTAGATGATGAGAAAAAGCTCGAACAACTCTGCAGAAAACATAAGGTGCTAATGCAAAACCAAAACGTAGATCCCTGTACTGCAGAACCTGACCCTTGTGCATAAACCTAAGAAACCTCCGGAAAATGTAATCTGGAAACACTTAGTTGGAAAGATGTTTATTCAAAACAGACTATACAGGATAAGAAACTGTATACTCAGATAACCTTTCCTCTAACTTTTTACATTATTTGACATCAAGTCCTTGGTCACTGGGCACCAATCACTAAAGGAAGATGAGTCCACTTTAATTGCTGGACCAATCACAACAAAGTCTATCCCCATGAGTTTGAATGGATTATGCTGCAAAACCATATAAAAATTGATGTCTCTGGACCAAAAGTGTGGTTGTCCTCGACAGCAGAGTTGTCCCCAACATCAGGGTTGTTCCTGGCTTCGAGGTTGCTCCAGAGGGTTCCAGACTTTCGAGTTGCTCCAGTTCTCTTAGCTAATTTCCAGAAATATACAGACAGAAAATAGCAGTTTAGTTATACGTACAAGACTTGCACTACACTAACTCCATGTAAGTTTTAATTGTTACTCTCCTTTCACTAATAATATTGTCAGGTGGAAATACGATATATGATGCAAAAGTCAATAAAGTTAAATAAGTAATGTTGATAAGGTTAGAAACATTATGGATCCAATAGAAGTTACTGAAAGTGTAAACATTTATATAATCGATGTTATTGTTTTTCATTCATTATAAGCCTTCATATCTTTATGTTAATAAATGTTAATAAAGTGTATATCTTTTGTGTAGAATTGTACTTGGTATCATTTATTCCTTTCTTTACTTGTAAATGTCCTCGAGTTAGTTGACTTGTGTACCCACTGGCTACTGTATACACTGGGTTTTTTAAATAAATATATTGTAATTGGTGTCTTGTCACCCCAAACAATGCTCTCTGCTCACTCGTTCCCACAATAGAGCAGCCTGTTACAGAATCTATTTGAGATAAAATGGTGAAGCTTCAAAAGTTGAAAATGTTTTGACCCAGATTACATAGTACAGGGCCTCCATTAGGAGTTAAAATTGACTTAGGGGAGAAAAAAAGATGTTAGCCACTTGTGAAGGAAAAAGAAGCGATTTGAGTGGAGTAAATAACAATATACACCTGTCTTTCAATGAAACAATAGTAAAAACAAGAACTTAAAAGATGCTTTACTGGGAAGAGGAATGAATAGTTTCATTATAATTATCAGGCCTCAATTAACTTAAAACTGAATTAGGAGACAAAATATAAAGTTGTCAGCCATTTGACAAGAAAGAAAAGTGATTACATTCAAATAAGTAAAGGTATACCTCTGTTCTTCAAACAAATTAAAAATGAATAGGAAATTAATTAAAAAGATGTTTTACTGAAAAGAAAAATGAATTAGCTTCAGTATAGATATCAGTTTATCAGATTAAACTAGTGTGGTATGAAAAGAAAACTTTTCTGTTCAAGAAGTTCCCTACAATTAGGACACACCTTAAGATTCCAGGAGCTACACTAATAAAAATTTTAGTAAATTGTGGAAAACACTTTCATTCAACTTCAAGTACAATTGACTAAAACATTTATAGAGCAGCACCCACCTTAATAAAAGTGACTTGTTAATTCATAGAAATCATGCTGATTTTAGTGAATATATATCATGTGGTGAAAGTAAGAATTCATGTCAGGGTTTGTCATGGTTAATCCCTAATGTGCATTCTTACTTCCATCTAATGAACTGTAAAGCTTGCTGTCAATGATGCCATTCTTGCATAGAAACCATTTCACACTAAAATAAAAAGGCTTACACTTGAAAAGTTTAAATAAAGTTTTAGTGTAATCATAAATAGGAGTTTATTTGTTGTTAAGTGCAAAGCTACACAATGGGTTATTTGTGTTCTGTCCACCATGAGTATCAAAACCCAATTTCTAGTATTATAAGCCTTCAGACTTACCACTGAGCCACTGGGGGCATAAAAAGGTGTAATAGCAAAAGTTTGCAAAAACTCCAGTTGTTTTAGTAACTGGTGTTGCCTAATGATATCAAGTAACAAACATGTGCAAATGAATACTGTAAGAGTTTAAAATTTGGCTCTGCATAGCCATTAAGTCAGTGTTTCTGAGTAGGAGTAGCCAGATGACCCCCACATCACAGATTTGGTCATTGCAACCACCATTATCTCTAGAAGGATGAAAAAATCTTGGTGTTTCTTGGTGCAGTTCTTCATAGTTCATAACAAAGATGATATGTGCACCACTCAGACACCCCGAGTACTAAACAGTTGACAAAGCAGACAGCTCGTGACCCCCCATGGAAACCTGCTCACAATCCCGAGGGGTTGTTTGAGATACACTGCATTAAATGTATTAAAGCAAATTTGAATCTAGAAAATGGATCTTTTCTTGCTGACTGAATATGAAATACATAGAAATGAAGTACTCAAAAAAGTGGAAAATACAATTACTATAATCTTTTTAATATAATCTAAAATAATAACATAATGCTATAAATCATTCAAGCTTTGGAATGTCTGAAGTCAAAATAAGTGAAATCTTAATAAAAGTTAAAATTTTCCTACACTTAAAATGTATTTCCAATTGATACCTCATCTCACATAATAGCTTTTCTTGACTTGTGCTGCCATCTATATATACACTATTTGCTCATCACTAGAGTTGATGCTCCTACATACTCTCACCTAACTTCTTGTGGCATAGCTGCACTGTAGCATGCAAAAGAGCAAGCAACAACCCTTCAACAACAGGAGTATGACACACCCTCCTACCACAGCTAAATCCCTCTATACTGTAAAGCACTTTCATTACTTTGAGATTACACACAAAAAATTCACCAGCAGTGGGGAGGACAGGTATAAATTGTGAACAGAGGTAAGTATCTTACAGAAATTATTTTCAATATAGGAAAAATTTAACTTCCAATATGATAACTTTCCCCATCTCACCTAATAGCTAGAATTCCACATTGAAACAGTGGAGAAATTGGTGCAAAAGTTACCAAGATGTAACCAGGTATACTCTTTGCTCATTACAAAGATACGTGTCACTAAAATGGACAGAAAAGATGTACATCCAATCTGTAATTGGACATGCCAAATGGTGTAAAGTGGCTAGAGTGCATCAGCTATATTTGGTGGGTCAACTCCAATTCAGAACCAGGCTGCATCAGTTATTTGTCTTCTGGCCAATGACAGGCAGAGGGTCCCAACCATCTTCACCTCAATACCAGGAAATGGAAGGGAAAACAACTTCTGTTCTGACAACCCAGGCAGGGCACATGTGCATACCCAGTACGCAAGTAATACCAGGCCTCCTGGGAACCCAACATTCAAGCTACATTAGGAAGGGGGTAAGCAAAAATAGCAGGTCAATTCCTGCCCAAAACCAGGTGGCATCGGAAATTTATTGTCCAGTCATGGTACGAAGAGGGTCCATGTGGATTTATGTTTAAGTACACCTTGACATTTGTCACAGAGCAGGAACCAAGAAAGGAGAAGATAAGTATACCAATGTGCTCATGAGTCTACTGATTCATCAAATACTAACTTCAACTATACCTCAGAGCTAACAAACTGAACATCAAGACACATGCAAATTATTTTGGGGACTTCTGGTACCCAAGTTTGTTTTGTATTTAAAAATGCAGTAAGTATCAGACACAAAGGTGCAATGTTATTCAAGTTCCATCAAAATTCTCTGTTTTGACAAGGAAGAAGCAAATTTATAAAGTATACATATGTGTGTTTTGTTACTGAAATCTCACAGTTAGCTCAAAGAAATAACCTACTAAATTCCTAGCTATATTATGGAGAGGTTCTTATACACATAAACCTTCATTTTTTTTACTTCATTCATTCTTACTGTCATTACATAAATATAGACTTCTTTATTTTAAGAAATGTTATGACATAATTCTTAAATGTTATTAGCTGCAAGAAAAACTACATTAAATACAATTTACTGGGGCAAATAATAATAATGGAATATAATAAATCTGTCATTATTATATGTAGCTGACTAATACATTTATTAAAAAATAACATTTTATTCCAGAATAATACTTTGACTTCAAAGCTACTTTTTACTGAATCAAGTTACACAATACATTACTGACAGACCAACAACATCATCTTTTATATTTAGAAAAAGCAAGAGAGGTGTAACTTCAGCAAGCAACAACATGACTACATTTCTTACTCCCACCCTCACATAGTAGGATCAAATTTCTTTAACATATACTTGCTTAGCCTTCGAAACAAACCAAACCCTTTTTAACTTCACATCATTAAAGTCTTGAGTAATAAATCCTTACCAAGGAGATCCATAAACTTTCAGTCCATGAATTTCAACTGCAGAATCCTCAAGGTAAATACAGTTAGTAAGCATATTCTGTGGCTTGTTATTTTTATATTTTGAACATTGGTTGTAGTCAAACTGAAGATTTCCAGTATCACACTTGGAAGGATCAAATATAAATTCATGGTTACCAGCAATAACTATCTTGTATGTGTGAGGTAGAGTCCCTAAATACATATAATTTGAGGTAATAAGTAAATAGATTATCAAAATAACAGACTCTATGTATTATGAATGATTATGTGCATTTAACTGTCTTCAAAGGAGGAGTAAAGAAAGATATAATTAGTTTATAATCTACAGTTCAAAGGAAGCTACTTCTTATTTCTTGCATAAAATTTAAATTGTCTTTTTAATTTTAACACACCATCATATTTGACGCAAAAAATAAAATAAGGTCTTCCTCTACATACTTAATCAGATAAAATATACTGACTGTAATGATCAGTAAGGTCTAAATTTCTAAACTATTTTACTTAGAATATAACTAGTGCAATAATTTGCTTTGAATACCTAAAAAAGAAGCTCCACAATGTATATTTATATGTCAATGTTTTAGTAAATATCTAAAATAATAACTGTTTTTTTTATATTTATAATCAGATAGCATACGATGGCTGTATGTTTTCTTACATTGAAAGCCCTAAAGGGATGCAAGTTATTTAAACCATTAAGATGTGTAGTCTCAAACACAAAATAAAGTTACAATTTATATCTGGTAACATAGCATCATTAAAAATAATAAATATCTCTGAGAAACAAGCAACAATATATTGTAGAATTATATACACAATACACAAAGTGTTAGCAAGGATCAGGGAAATAATCTGGTGGTTGATTTTTGCTACCAAAAATCAACTACTACATTGAAAGACCAACTGTTGAAACTAAAGTGAAGGTAAATGAGTTCTAACCTCATATTATTTTGTATAATTTGTTACACATTTATAATACAAGTTGTTTTGTTTTCTGTTTCTCTCATATCAATCAGTGCTTTATTTTTATTTTTCTCTTCTGTATTCTTCATTATATAGTGTGCTTTATACATTATATATACTATCACCTTTTTTTTTTGCTTTGTATTTCCATGTGCACAGATCTTCTGTGTGTTTAGCCTGATCAAATGTACAAAAGTTCTGTATAGGTTCTTCTGTGTTGTATGTAATATGTAATTAAAGCATAGTATAATAATTTTTTTGCATAAATTTTCCTCCTATAGAAGCTTAAGTTCTTAACCTTTAAAGATATGCAAGGTTGTATCTACATTAATCCTTTATGTGTGTACCATAATGTATAAAAATGCATAGAACTTCATCATTTTCTGTAAAAGAATTTGTGTAATTTTGCATTCAATTACGATTTGTTTTAACTTATTTCAGATTAGTAGAGGTCACCAATATCCTTTGATGTTTTCTTTCATAAAAGGGAAATACTTAACCAAATTGCATAAAATTTAAAACAAACTTACTAACTAGCATCTTGTTTTGGCTTAAAAAATTCATATCATTTGATTTAAATTTTCTATAATTTTTTATGTCAACTAATTAAAAATAAAAATTATTAGTACCTTTTTCAAAAAATAATAAAAATGCTTCCTCTATTTTTAGTCTTTAATTTTCTTAATGTTGTTCAGAAAGTTACATTTTATTTATACAGTGAAACACTGCTATAACACAATATTTAGGGTCCAAAAATGCTATCACATTAAATGCAGGGTTGGGATAAACTAGGAACTTCCCACATCTTGCCTCCTTACCCCTTCTTCTCATCTCCTACCCACCAAATATCCTGCCTGCTTCCACATTCTAACTTTTTTGTTGATATTTGTACTGCATGCTAAGTTTTAAAACTAATTATTGCTTAAAAAGTCCAACCCCTTAGTGTAGATAACTTTCTGGATGAAATACTCTTCTTATGACACTTATTCTTGAATCAGCAAAATATTATTGAAGGCAGTCAATATCATAGATGTTACATCTCTGCTTTTATGGTACAAAGCATAGAGTTTTCTTTACCTTAACACTTTCCATTTACAAGATGTAGATCCCATGATGCTCAAACTTCTCCTAAATATTTCAGTTAAATTTCTAATGAGAAAAGGCATAATGTGAAATAAACTGTTTACTTGGATTCACCCTTTATATATAGGCACTCAGAGTCCCATACCTCACAAAATATACATTTATCAGGAATCAATAGCAAGCATCATCTAAAAAATCTATTATGCCTGAAACATCATCATAGAGTTGTGACATAATAAAATAAGTTAAGATATGATTAAAGTTGTGATATGGTTAAAATTTCTTTATTTTATTTCTTTTTTCGGTTAGTCTAGATGAAAAGATAGATATGTATAAAACGTTTTTGAAGACAATAAAAGGCAGTAGTTGTGCAAAATCGTGGAGCAAAAAATGGGGGCCAAGTTATCAATATTCTACATACAAATCAATTTATATCTAATAGATATATTTTGATTGTCAATATCTATGTCCATTATTGACTAGCAAATGCAAAACTATCTAATGGAAGGGACAAAAGAAATGAGAAAAAACAACAACTGATAAGTGAGTTGATTGCAGATGAGTCTCCTATGATCTGTATAGAAATCTAATTTTGAATTTTTTGCATTTTTCTTTGTGAATTACACTAAGTAAATGCTACAAAATGACAAAATATCTATTACAAAAAGTTACTGAAACAGGGTAAAAATTATCCTTTTTGAAATTTGTAATGTGTATTTGACACCTGAAAGGGTTAATGAAAGGTTTATTATATACTCCTGAGGTTGGTTGTTTGGTGTTCATGGGTGCAAAGTAATAGGGCCATGTGCGCCAAACAACCAGTATAAAAACTAAAAGTAAAATACTATAAAAAGTCGAAATAAAACAGGCTAAAATCTAAACAGTAAACATTCTCCACCACCACCAATGACACCGTCCAATGTCCAGGGTAAACCCCAAGAAAAAAACATGTCTAAAAGTAGAACTTCTACTTCAGTCTTTGACAGTAAAATAAACACAGAAAATAAATGTGAAATGTTTAGCAGTTCAAACTCTGAAGAGAAATATTTTGATATTTTGTGACCAATAATAATAAAAAAGACCACTGGAGGGGAAGAAAGCATCCATCCCATCCAAGCCTTAAATTGTGTTTTTGAGAAATGTTACTAGTTAATGAGCTATGTTTGGGGAAATTATTAACATTACTATACACAAGGTTGAAACTTCCATGCTTTTTTAATCCCCCACCAACCCTCTGGCTCAATTGCTGTATGAAATCCAAAATGTGCTACATCATTAACAATTCAGGTATTTTGTAGAAATTAGGGTTCAACTTTGCCCCTTCCACAAGATTTTGCTGAAATGGTGCCTTGGCTGGTACACATAGTCAGATGTTATGATCACAGATTTTCATAATACAGCTTGTTGCAAGATGCTTTCTAAATGGCCCTGGTGCCTCAAGGTGATCCATATTCCTTTGTTTTCAAATAAATTAAGCCAAGGGATATATCCATTTCGGAGATTCTAAAACTACGATCTGATCATATCTTTTTCATACGAGTTTATGAATATTTTGCACTCAAAAAAAGTTATTACATACTTTTTCCAAAGCCAATATATTTTTGGTGGCATCACATTACCTATGAAATGCCATACAATGTCAAAATGTAGTTCTGATACATTCTGTTCCACCATGACTTTATACAGGCTGTGGTTGTCATGTGACTTGGTGACTTGTATATTCAAAATAGTTTTAATATAAGGTATTCAACCCTTTAAGAATATTACCCATATGGAGATAAGTTTACTATATGAACGGTATAATAAAACCTTAAATGTCCAAATTAAAGGTTACTATTATTAATTTCTAATCCAAATTCAGAAAAGTAATAATACGCTCATTCAACCAACCTCTCTTGGGCATTACATCTAATTGAATTTGATGAAATAATTCTTTTTAAGGATTCCTAATAAGTAAGGCTGTAAGAAAATATATGTAATCAGCTATTGTTGTAAAGTATTCTAACACTTAATGGGTTCTTTTGGATTATTTTAGAAAATAATGGCAAGTTCAATCTACACAATGATAACAAATATATTTATTTATTTATTCCCCATAATGTTTGCTAAAGTTATATTCACTCGTAGACCCAAGTTCAAATACGACATTTCAATAGAAATTCTGAGGCTAGTGGTACCTACAACTAACTCATTAGCATTGATCGATAAACAAACAAGTAACAGAATAACTCTTACTATTAACACCGAATAACTTTCAGACACTAACTAAACTTTTGTGGATGCTCATTAACTCTCATTAATCACTGATTATTCGTATCAAAATTGTACACTTATTACTACATACTCCAAAAATAAAACATTTTAAATATGGCTTACCACACTATACTTATTACCAGTTTGATTTTTAATTTTACTCTACATAAGGAGCTAATGCTAATCAGAAGTTAGTAATAATTACCAAAGGCCACGTACACATAAGAATGATGTCCAATAACCATGTATTTTAGCTAACACACACAGCCTTGATACGCGTTTCATCATCTTATCTTTGTCGGTATTCAGTTGTGTTGTGCACGACCTGTAAGGGTCACGTACTATTTAGACCTCCCTTCTTTATTGCTTTTGGCTTTCCTTATTTGTTTGTTGAATTTCGCATAAAGCTACTCGATGTTTATCTGCGCAAGCCATCACTAGCCAAGTCTTGGGCTACATTCATCAATGAATAATGGAGTTGATAGTCACATAATAACGGCCACACGACTGAAAAGGTAGGCATGTTCGGAGAGGGGGTTTAATCCAGTGACTCAGATTGAGAGTCAACGCTCGATGTGCCATGCCATGACAATGCTTTTTTGGCTCTGCCATCTCAACTTTCGAGAGTTGTATTAACACATCAATAAATTCAAAACGTAAGGATATGCGAATTTTTGTTCTTTTTCACTTCGCCTGGCATTAAAATTAACTTTTATGTTGCATAATGTTAATGAAGCATAAATACATGTGGAATAAATTATTTACCATGTACCAGACTTGAATTTCATACAATAACAAAAATTTCTCGATTTAACATAATCATGTAATTACTTCCCAATTTTCTATCTATGGCATTACACTTTTATACATTTTAAACGTATACTCTCTGAATAGCTGCGAAAAACTTACCCAAAAATTTGTTAAATTCCTTTACTTCGTCCACCATCCCGAATTTTGTAAAGTCTCCAGCATGAATGAATACATCACCAGAAGGAATAGGCCATTTCTTAAATGACGTGAAAGAATGTGTGTCAGACATGCATACAAAACGAACTTTGTTTGGGCTGACTGGAAAACTGAGTGGTATAGGCTGAACTTTTTGAACAACCTGGAATTTTCTCAGTTCTTTCCATGCCTTCGAAGGGTTTTTGGTAAAACGATGTATTTCAATATTGACCTCCTTTAAACTGTCATGGGACATTAGGACTCTAAAAATAAAACATTAATAAATAAATTAAGTGGTTTCTCATAAGAGCTATATGAACCAACAAATTTATTAAAGATATGGGAGTAGAGGGCAATATTTTAAGCTATATAAATTTACTAGAAAAATATCATTAGATTTTATGCAGAAACAAAATATCATAAACTTCGCAAACTTAAATGTCTTACTTTTTACTGGCTCTCTAGTGGCTCAGCAGCAAGTTTGATGGTATATAATGCTAAAAAGTTGGGTTTCACTTTGTTTATCTTTATGCTTAACAACAAACAAATAAACCTTACTCACTTTTAATTAATATCGATGAATGAGCTCTGATATAACATTCTTTTAACCATGATTTCATACACCCACTAAGTGTACGTTTCTGATTTCGTAATCTACTAGGATATCTGACTCACATTAGTCATTCGGTAGAAAACATCACGACTCTGATCGATTATCTGTATTGCTAGCTAGGAATGTAAACATATACAATTACCTACATAAAGTCAAGTGTACCTAGCAATTACAACACAAATCTGGATTCATACTAGTTGATAAATATGATTAAAACAACAATAAAATTTACCATTTTCAAGAGAATGCAAATTCCCATGACATAATTATAAAATTTGGTAAAAAAACCCAACATAAAATTATTATTTCCAATAATTGAATTACGTGTAATTATTGCTCAGAAAGTCTTATAGGTTACTTTACATAAGTAAGTTAGGTCTTAAACCAAAAAAAAAAGTATGTTTCAAATATTCATCAAACAAATCATGTCATGTCTAAATGATACCATTTATCATTAAAAAAAATTTCTTTAGAAAAAAGATTAAATTACAAACATGAAACTAGTATCTAGTCAGATGTAACTTCCATTTCATATCTACATTTATATTTTTGACTTATATGATACTGTTAAATGATTTATGTTCAAGTTCATAAAGTACCTAACACTTTATAAAAAATTATGGAAATCTGATTTAATTATTTCTTTGAACTATCTGTATAAGCCTGAAATACTGCATAATTTAAATAAGCATAATTTAAGTGTTTAAACTATAGTGTATACAGTTACTTATTACTTTGCAAAAACCTTTAAAATGATGTTTATGTATTTTTAATTATTATAAAAGTTTAAGTTATAGGTCATGAGTATAAATTTATATTTTTATGATTTATTTGGAATATTTTTTAACTGGCTGCTCCAATTCTTTTCTGTCATTTTTGTTCTTATAATAATCTACATTAATTCACTATGTGTTTGGGAAATTGGTTGCCAAGAAATTATTCCCACAGTTTTGTAGCTATCAGGAGGAAACTTAGCAGGTAGACTTAGGGAGGCCCTTATGAGTATTCTTATCTTATTGTTGTGTTACCACTACTAAGAGGGATAAGATGGAAGGCTAAAATGTGGCAAGAAGATCAACTAGGCATGACAGAGTAAAATTTCATGGTTGCTGAACCTGAATCTGGCATCAGATTTTGTGTTTTTGAAACCTTTGGATTCCCGAAACACTATTTTTGAAACTTGTAAATAAAGGAGACCAAACCTAGTACATCTGCTTAGGTAGTAAGATGTGTTATCCTAACATTTGTTTTTGAATACATTGCAAAACTTTAATTTTAAATATTAGAAATATCTATTAAAATAAAAAAATGCCAATTTCTGATGTTAAAAGTACTGAATTACTCAAATATTACAAACCGTACAAGAATGCCTATCTCAAATAGCATAAAGATTGAATTATTCTTATTTTTCAATATAAATGAATAAGTTACTTTAAATATATCTATTAATAAACCTTAAATGAAAATACAAGATTTGTACTTTCTTTTATTATGTGATTATGAAGGAGAAATTACAGTTCTTAATGACTTACTACAGCATTTCCCAAAGCCTGTGGCATGCCACCCTTTTGATTAGAGTAGAGTCAATAGTTCAATAATGCAAAATTAAGTATTTTAATATATTTTTATTAATGAAAATAATAAGTAATTACTACAACACAAATAGCATTTTAATGTGTATCACTATTATATCTCATCATTTAACTCACTCTTTCACTCATTTAAAAAAGAGGGGGGCACATAGGAAACTATATTTATTAAAGAGGGGGAATTGATGACAAAAGTTTGGAAAATGCTGACTTAAGGGATATCGTCATAATATACATTTTCCCATTGGTAGATATTTTGATTATCATTTTTCTTAGTTGTTAGTACTTCAGCATGAAAATACAAAATCCATAACTTTGTACCAATTGAAATAAATCAATGAAAAATGACAAGACCAACATCTTGTTTATAGCCAGCATTTTTATAAGGTTGATGCCAGCACTTAACTGTGTGTGTGTGTGTGTTTTCTTATAGCAAAGCCACATTGAGCTATCTGCTGTGTCCATCGAGGGGAATCGAACTCCTGATTTTAGTGTTGTAAAAACCAAATTAATAACTATGGAGAGTTCTCTAAATACAGATATAGATATAGTAAACATATTAAAATTTATCAATCAGGAATTGTTTTTAGGGTGAAAATGGAATTTATACCAAAAGACAGCCTTAATTTTTAAGTTTGTTCTATGCTTTATTTTTTATCTTTTGGTTTTGTTTTCATAAGTAGATGGCAATATACATTTTTAATGAACCAAAAGAACCTACTAACAAGAATTTTTCAAATTATCACAGAATATTTTCATTATCGCTTCAATTTATTATAATCGGCGAGAGGAGATACAAAATAAATATACCGTATTTTTCTGTGTATAAGACTCCCTTTTTTACCCCAAAATTTAATATCAAAATCTGCTTGCGTTCTATACACCGAAGGTATAAATAATATACATGTATATATATATATATATGATATACACAAGCCATGTGTAAATATATTTAAATAGGCATGCATAGTCTAGTTCAATTGAATGTGTTATTTATAACAATAGTAGTTTTGTTTTCTTTTAAAAGCACAACT